GACTGTCTCCGTCCGTCGAGCATTCTCGCTACTCAGCGCGGTTCTTCGCTCTCCGTTCCCGATGACCCGCTCTCGTGTGCCCGCTCGAACTGCAGCTGCAATTTCTGACGATGGCAGCTGCCCTTTTCCACCGGCCCTCTTACTTCGTCAGCTTGCGGGCTCTGCATCACATTTTCCGCCCAGTCGGTGTGCTGCGTCAGGCCCGGCGCAGGTGAGTTGTGATGAACTTGAACTAAAGTATTTCACTGATCATTTTACGTCTTACGACGAAACATGTTCAGAGCCGATTCGGATGTCGGCGATGGAAGGCCGGACGGTCGTTTAGTCAACAGTGCCGACCGATCTGCGGGTTCAGGTGCCCTTCCCAGGTTCGGCGGATAATGGCTTCGACCTAAGCGCAGCAAAAGTCCTGCAGAGATTCTGAGCCGCATATAAGGGTTGCGCGCGATGTCCTGACAGCGTATAGTTACATATTCGAGCTTGGAACGCCATGCGTCTCACAACTGTCCTCGGTGTCGTTGTCGCAGTATTCGTTGCCCATGCCGCTGCGCAGAGCTGCCCTAGCTGCCCGACGCCTGGGGGCTGTCCCGGACAGTGTGTCCAAGACGGTGGAGAGTGAGTAGTTGTTGCTTCCAGGGCGCATACTTTGTCGGGTCTCATAACGTTGCGCTTTCACAGGCCATTCTGTGCAGGTTTTTGTAACTCCACGGGTATGAGCCCCTGCGAGGCATGTACCGACCAGAACGATGGAGTGAATTGCTTCTACGACTCGGGCCTGTGTGTGCTGAAGCTGCCGTAGGTGTGTCGACCTTTCTTTATTTCAGCTACGCATGTTTAATCAGGCCCCTTCGCAGGCGAAGCTAATGCATTGGCGGTTTAATGACGATTGTTTACTGTTCGGCTTGAAGACGTTCTCCCTGTATGGTCTATATACCCGTATGCAGCCATTATGTGAAGTGACGAAGTGTGCGTCAGACACTCAGTCTTGAGTTATGTCTAGCCAATGCCTCAAGAGTTCGTCGGGAGCCTGCGACAGTGGTGAGCCGCGAGATTATGCACCCGAAGGCAAACTAAGGAAGGGCTAGCGATGCCTAGCCCTCATCCTAAGCTTACAGCTGTGTGCAGGTTAGTCTGGCAGCTTCAGCGACGGTGTGCATCGCAGCTGACCTTCGTTGTTTACCAAACTATCCAATACTCGATGGTCTGCAGTGGTGTTCGAGCATATAAGCCTGGCGTACTTGGCAGCTCGTGAAGTCACCGCCCAACCTGATCCATGTTACGCTCGGTGGTATGGGGTACTAGGGGTCCTAGAAATTGATTTATCTGAGCCTCTGTACTTTCTCTGGTGCTCTCACGTCGGCCGCATCCTACGCGACTCAGAAAACCATAGGCGACTTCAGGCGGTGCTTTCTGACCTTCATTTGGTCCTCAGTAGCCTCCGATTCCTGTTCTACGAGTCTGCAGAGACCGTTGCGACCAATGTTCAAGTCAGTGCTGCATGATACAGTGGCGTAAAGGGCTCGCAAAGAGCCCGGACGATGTGCGTGAGCACTTAGGGCCTTCTGATCATATTCTTTCCGGTGCTGACTACATTGACTACTGGTGGCTTTTTTAGCTCTCCGCACAACCCGGGGGAACCGCCAAGGCCCTTGGCGCGACACATTCCAAGTCGACGATGACACTGACCAGAGTCAGAAGCTAGCTACTCGCAGTGTAACATGACTCATGCGCTGAACACCTTGATCTTAAGACTATGTCAAAACTGGGTTGGCGTGCTAGACGGTGGCTTTCGAGTACGCTCTTCCCTTTCTGGAAGTACTATGATGCGTTATTTTTTGGCTTATAAGATTCGTCTGTCCTGAAGCAGACCACATGCCAGATGTACAACAATGGGCTTTGATGCGCAATATATCTTGCATAACACCCATACGATCCTCAGCATCGCGCGCACGCCTCCCGCAATCGAGCTTCGCACTCGCTTGCATGACATGTCCGCCGGCCGCTTAGGCTCCACGCAGATTGCGCTACTATTGTAACGTACCCAAATCCTAACAACGATAGATCGGCTAGTAAATTTACTAATGTCAAGGAAAATGAGTGGAACACAAGGCCTGAGAGCATTGCAGGGTCAATTGCAGACCTTATACTTATACTGTTCTGTCCACCTCCTGCCACTCAGGCCGAGTTCGAGGCTTACCAGTCCTGCTGTGAATCCACCTGTGCATTATTAGTTATATACTCGCTTCCACTTGTTCAAAATACCAGCGACCGAGCAGTCCTAGGGCATGATTGGGCGACGACCGCGGTGTCGGGACCCTGGTTGATGTCGGCGCTAGCTGTCGTGCGCGCCCCTTGGTTGCCTTGGCGCAGCGGGAGCTAGGCGGCGACGGTCGTTGCTGGCCGTTTCGTGATCGGATGTGGACGTAAGCGAAACGCATCAAGCCCTCGGCGGGTAGCCTGACACAAAGCCGAAATGGCAGAGTACACAAGTTAATTTTTCCGACAGAGTACTATATATCATCGTGCAACCTTGACTCGGCCCAAGCCAAGCGCTGAAATTCTCCAAACGGCCTTGTTCGCTGGTCCATTTCAGTAACCACCTTACAGTACGTGTATCTACCAGCACTTATTCTGGCGATCCTTGCCCATTTTGCTGCCAAGGCGCGGCGGCGCAAGTCCCTGAGAACTGCATTCAATTCACGTCTCCTGCAGGCTGCCCCGGTCTCTGTGACCAGATCGGCGTAAGGTAGGTCATCCCTGAGCCAGTACCTCCAGATTGACACCTACTCATGTATCTCAGCCCGTATTGTAAGGGCTATTGCAGTGATCCTGGAGAAGAATCCCTTTGCAGAGCTTGTGCAGGACAGGGCTCAAACAAGAACTGCTACTTCGATAACACTGCCAGTGGCCAGTGCCAGTTGTGGACATTGTATTAAGTAAGTTGACTGTTGTTGATCGCTGAGTTGAGTGCATAGATTATATGGCTTAAGGAAGCCCGTGACACGAATGCCGCACTCAAACGACCGATAATTTCCAGCGTGTAGCGGATGTTGCGATGAACTGAAATTTTGAACGATGATTTCCTTTTGTGACCTTGCACCGGCGTGATCCGCAATTGCGTCACGTTCCTTTACACCCCGAGAAGAATAGACTCCCCATGCATGGCCGCTAATTGCTGTCAGACGTTGCAGCTACGCAGGTGAGGCGCTGAAGAGAGTCTTTTCCAAGTGCATTGAATGCTTATAGGACTATACTCACGCTTCATGCTTATCCCGGCGTTCGGCAAGTTCAATACCGTGCTATCGACTGTCTCCGCCCGTCGAGTATTGATTAATGCCTGTTGTATTGCATTCAAGTTGAAGGTTACCAAGACTGTCATTGCCCGACGTTCCAGAGTCGATAACCTTTCGTCTATCCGAGTCAGAGCCAACACGTCCCGTGTGACGGTGCAAACACACACCTACTTCAATTTCAGCGTCTGGTAGTTTGGATTCAGAAACGCTATCAGCTAATCGCAGCGGCGTTTCCGTCACTCAGTGTGGCTCCCTACCCCCTGCGTCCAAGGATCCACCCTCATACACCGCGGCCATGGCTCTTGACTGTGGTAGCGACCATCCTCCGTCTCCAGCTCTCTGTCGTAGTAAGTGAACTGTTGCGTCTTATTCCTTGCCCTCTTTAGAGTGCTGTCAGGCCTGACACAGATGCGTAGCGGCGGACTTGCTCCCATTGTACTTCTCGGTTCTTTGCATCTCATGATGGATATCGCTGACAGGCTGTAGCCGTTCATGCGAGGGTACCTCGGTGAAGGGAAGGCCTTGCAGCCTTCATCTAGCCAAGCAATGCTGACCGGCTTGCTAGGCTCAGGCCAGAAGGCTCGAGTCTGGCCGATGATGCTCCCTATGCGAGCGCAGGATTCGGCATCAGGGCACCATGCGCCTCAGCATTCTTCTCAGCGTCGTCGTTGCAGCCTTCTCTGGTCAAATTGTTGCGCAGCTCGCCCGTTCCGGCTGCATGTCGCCCACGGGCTGTCCCGGATGGTACAGGCTATCCGATGGATAGTGAATAATTGCCGCCCCCGAGCGTATGCTGTTTTGGAGCTGACGACGTCGTGTTTTGCGGGCCATACTGCTTCGATTCTTGTGGCAATGAGGAGTTGACCCTTTGCGTCGCCTGCGCTGGTATTAACGGAGAAACCATTGGCTACTATGACCAGGGCGAGTGCTTCATGGACCATCTCCAAATGCGTCCACCTTTCCCTGTTCGATTGTGCGCGTTTGTTCAATTATTATTGCAGACCAACCTGGCCTGTTCCGGACTAGCGATGGTTGTTAAGATTTTGCCGCATTGAAATCATTCTCCCGTATAAGCTTTGCAACAGCAGGCGTTAAATCAGCAGTCTTTGTGCGGAGTGCCAAGGACTGCGTTTGAAATTCTACATTTGAGTTTCGTCCGGCCATGCATGGGCCCGCTCAGTGCGCGGTCGGTCTCGACCGTGTCGTCTGCGTCGCCAGTCACGCCTGAGAGTGCGCAAGTACTTCGAGGGCTCGCGACGGGCGTGGGTTACGGTGGCCAAACATGGTCAAAGAATTAGGAGCGCTGTCGGGCTCTAATCCTAAGTTTATGATTGTGTCCAGGTTCTAGAAGCTCCGATGGTGTGCCTTGCAGCTGACTTTGGATATATACCAAACTTTCCAATACTTATTAGTTCGCGACGGTGTTCGAGCGCATAAGCCCGGTGCACCGGGGAGCTGAGGCCACTGCCTACCAACCCGATCAGCATTGCATTTCACGTACTGGCGTCGCGCGGAGAGAGCACAAGTCAGGTGGTGACGGCGATTACTGGCATTGTGGGACAAGAATGTAACCAGGATTTGTTGAACCTGCATTTGACCCAGAGAAATCCAGGGTCAGGAGAAGGGATGTTAACGGAGCCGCAGGGCTAAACGTAATGGCGCTCAAACTTTTATCGACGGAGCATATATAAACACGCAGACCCGAAGCTATACATTGGAGACGAGGAGTCAGATCCCCACGCCGTCTTGCATCCACATCACGAACTTGAAGAATATCCCGCAATTCATGCAGCTGTCAGCACTTGTTCTAGGGCTTTTCGTCTTGTTTGCTACCCAAGGCGCGGCACAATCCGGAGGGTGCAATTGCACGTCCCCTACCGGCTGCCCCGGATTATGCTCTCAGATCGACGGAAGGTGGGCTGCCTGGGTCGCGCTTGATGTCAGTGCTTACCCAAGATTCTCAGCTCGTACTGCAATAACGATTGTGGCTATCCCGGAGAAGTCCCTTGTGCAGCCTGCGCAGGACTGCCAGCGCCAGGCCAGAACAGTAACTGCTACTTTGATAGCACTGGCGTGTGCCACCTGTGGACGTTTTAGGTACGGTGACTTGTTACTCTCAACGCGTATAATTTCAGCTCAGTGCAATTTCAAGTGGTACAAATGCGGCACTCAGACGGTTTCTTGATTAATAACTTTACACTAGCGGATACTAGTTGAACAACGATTTCCTTTCGCAGTGCCGCGCCGGTGTGATCCGAACTTGCGCCACATACCTTTCAGCTGTCGCAGTCAGCCTCAAAAATTGGGTCGCGCCGACACGGATGCTTTGCAAGCCGTTGGGTGTCTTGCAGTCCTTTGGACCACGTCCTGGCTGCGACAATTTTATTTTATTTTATTTCGGCTTGCTTGGAAGCGGTGCTTTGAGAGCGGATGAGAGGAGCACGTGATTACGGCGGTACCACGTAAATGCGTCAACGAGAAGGGCTCAGGTCTCCTCGACCCTTGCTCTTCGCTCGTGTTTCTTTCGCTAATTACCCCGTCTCGCCCCGCCTTGCAAGCTGGCTCGCAGCCTTCGTCTGTGACCAGTAAATCCGGGATACCTACCCCAGCTCTGCTCATGCCTTAATGCTCGGAATCAAGGCTAAAATCGTGAGCGGTCGCCACCGCTTCTCTTCGGGTCTCTACGGCAGTAGCGGCACCAATGTTTCCTCTCGCATCATCAGACGGTGCATACGCAGCGGCACTACGTTGTTGAACAAGGCAAATCACCGTTTCTACTCGTCCAAGGGTGGCATACCACCACCAGAGTCGTTTGGGGGACCGGATGTGCCGCTCCATCGTAAGTACGCGATCATGACGTGTCGACTATGTCTCAGAGGTCTGCCTACCACAGAAAGGCTGGCAAACGCGTGGAAGCAAACACCTACAACCTGGTACCCTCTTCCCATTGCAGTAGGAGCTCTCCTCCTCATTGCTATTCAATATCGCAAAAGGCTAGGCCAGAAGGAGGTTTATGTTGACGAGGAGGGCCATGAAGTCGTGAAGCTGAAGGGTCCGTGGACAGTAAGTATTCGTTTTGCTAAGGCTGCATGCATACTTAGAACTTTATAGGTGCACGTTATGGGTGCACTTCCTCTGCGGAACGTCTCTCGCGTTTGGGGATACGTCAACTCTCTCGAGCTCCCAGTCTGGGCCCGCCCTGCAGGCTTCAAGGTCTATGCGTGGATATTTGGATGCAATCTTGACGAAGTGGAGAAGGACCTCAAGGAATATGCAAGCCTCGGCGACTTCTTCTACCGGAAGTTAAAGGATGGCACACGACCAGTCGCCGATGTTATCCTGGTACGCAAACAGCATATATGCGCGTTATACCCTTTGCTTATACCTCTTGTGCTTCATAGGTTAGCCCTGCAGACGGTACCGTCTTGCATTTCGGCACAATTAAGGGAGGACGCGTCGAGCAGATCAAGGGCAGCACTTACT